CCCCCTGCCAAGACCGCTATAAACCCCTTCTCATCCATCCTCCCGGGGCTGGGGAGAGGAGGGCTGAGCTGCCCGACACGGGCGGGGCGGAGCCCGGAGCCCGGAGCCCCGAGCCCCACCGAGCGCTGCGGAGCGAACCTCACCTCCCTTCCAGGACTCAAGGTGTGTGTGCTTTTTCTAACGTAACCCCGACTTCATCCGACTTAACCTTGTGAGAGAAGGGGAATAGAAGGGGAAGTAAGAGCTCCACATCTGATCAGTTTATTTTAATTTATAATTCTACCCTTCATTCTTCGTTCTCTCCCTTCATCTCACCCTGCAGCAGGGTAAGGAGATTCAGGACTCTTACCTCTTTTTACTGATGTGTCGTTGTCGATCGCGTAGTAAAATGAACAGAGAAGAAAAGAGGGTCCTTTCTTGTGTGGCATCTGATGCAGTAAACCGCAAAAAAAAAAAAGAAGGCTAGGGTAAGAGTGGGTTTTTGGAACTGCACTGCATCCGTGTCCATTAAGGCAGTCTTCATCATTTTCTTACTTGGGACTGCCTTAATCAGCAAAAACAATCTGAAAAGGAGGGATGTGCTAGTGGAAAGAGGGATCAGCCCCCGTCAAATGGTAGTTAAAGGAAATCCTGGTAGTTGTTAGAGATTAACTCTGCTAAAGTCTCTCCCCGAGTACAGTGTCACGGGCTTTGTGTAGTACCCTGTTGGAGAAACCTAGCTAGAGCAAGCAAACTTACCTTTCCGTTACTGAAACTTAAAAGTCTTATCTGTTTCTCCATCTGTATATTTCTCATTCATATATTCTCAGAGGGATTAGTTTCTGTCGTCAAAAAACAAACTTTAAACAAATCCAGATGAATTTTGTTTAATTCGTTTATTTTTTAAAAGTCCCCTCCCCTTATGAATTTCAGTGGCTGTGTCATTACAATGTATATTTATCTCTTGAGTTCCTTTGCTTCTACAACCTTGTTTCTGAAAGACAGAGCTCATCCTCAGCCAAAATCAGGAACATCTTTATAGGTTTTTAATTGAGAGGAAAGTTATCAATTGAAGATAGAAAACCCAAAATTTATAATAGAAATAAAGGATGTATGTGTGTTTGTGTTGAGTAGCAGTGTTCTTGGTAAACTTGCTTTTAACTGGGTATTTTCACCAGAGGTGTTTGGACCAGGTTTTATCTTAATGTTGATTAGCAAAGAGCTAGAATGCCAGAAGGGCTGAATATCAGTTTTGGGGCAGGACTTTGGTAAATATTAATTTAAATGATGGAGAGTTCATTCTTGTAATCCAGTACAGTTGTTCTAACTGGAGTTTAATTTTGAAGACAGAATTGATATGCTGGAGCTGTTTAACAGTTTAAGCTGGATTAGTGTTTTTTCTTTGCATTGATTGCATCGGATCGCTTAACCATTAAGGAGAAGTTTGGGGTAAAAGCAAGCATTATAAAGAATAGGGATAGTGGAATAGGAAACCATCTCAGTTGTGGAAACTTACTAGGGATTAGGAAATTTATTATACTTTTCTTTTTAAATCTCAAGTAGCCTTAGTATAGAATTGTGCAAAAAAGTAGATTTACAGTAAACCTTTGTTAAATTTTGGGTTTTTAATTGATTATCCATTATCCCTTAAAGAATCTATAAATTATATTTAAATTGAAAGGCAAAGAGGATCCTCCAGATGTTGTCTTACCTAACTTGTTACTGAAAATGAACTGTTAAAAATCACTTTGAAGCTTTGATAGCTAGCTAGTATATAAAATGAAGTGCACTTTGGTGTCTGAACTATACAGTAAGCTGAGAAAGTGACAGAATCCACTTGGAGACCACATTAAAGTATATACAGCTTCACCTTGCTTCTACCAAAAAAACAAGTTGTCCTCCTGTTTGATATCTAGATGGTGGTGGTGGTTGTTTGTCTACCCATGGGTGAGCAGTTAATACAGCTTTATAAAGTTATATTACACTTTGCTAACTTAATTTTTTTATGTTTCTATTTTCTTGACTGATTTTTGTAACCTGTATTTTGCATGGTGCGGTGATTTCCCCAAAGAATTTTCCCCAGGAGACAAAATCTATGTGTAGAATTAATCATAGGTGTGTATCTATACTAATCTCCAAGTATCATTTAGGGGGATGGAAATTCAGATTTGGTCCTCTGCAAGGAAACAGTTCTATGAAGCTATGACTTACCATAATCTTTTAGGTTGAGGAGACACAGTGCTGCTGAGGTTAAATTTGCTGATTTAATTTTCTATAGCGATCTGTTTTTATCCATCCTGCCTGTTTCTGTGAGTCACAGCTTCGAATGTGTTAAGAAAAAGGGCTCTATGTTCTCTCTAAAGGGAGATTCAAGCCCAATCCCCTATTCACATCAGAAGTATAAAATGGTCCCCTTGAGAAGGTAAAGGAAAAGATTGGACCCTTGGCATTGGTAGATTCTCATGATAATCAGCTTGAGTGTTGTCAGGTTGAATTGGGAAAAGCTTGCTCAAGGTGAGAAAATAATAGAGGCAAAAAGACCTGGGAATGCTGCAATGTGAGAGACTTATTTAGAGACAATGAATGCATTCATATGGAGATGTGGCTGGTGGTAATTTTCAGTTATCCAGCTTTGTCAATCAGGTGCCTGAGACAATATTTTGTGTGTGTTTAAGCACAACCCCCTCCCCCAGGGATTGACTCTTAGAAGCTGAATCTTTTGAGGAAGTTATTTGCTATCTGAATCCAGAGGGTAGAGGACTTGGTGGAGTCTGTTATCTGTTTACAGCTCAGATAAGGACATGGAATTGATTGCTGGTGAGTTACTGAACTCTTCCTAATAAATGGTTGCTAGGCAAAGTGCATCTCAATCAGTTTAATCCTCAACAGTTTACAGGTCTGCTCTTGGTGAGGGCCAGAGCTGTCTTTCTAATAATACTGCCCTTTAAGAATCCTGTTGGATGTGCATATATGTTGCTCAGTGGTTTAAAAAAAAGGACTAGAATGACTTAATGTTTCTCACTTCATCCATCTCAAATAACTTTTAGCTTTTGGTAACCTGGGTCACATTGTCATTAACTTCTCCCCTGGATCAAGTGGTAGGGTAGAGTTGCTCTCCAATATTAAGATACCACTGTTTGATTATCTTTGGGTTTGTAACTAGTAAGGCGGTGAACTAACACATTCATTTTAGAAACAGGCCAATGATAACACTGCCCTTGGGCCTGGATGGATGGAAAAATAGGACAGCGTAAACAATTGAGGGCATAAATAATGAATCTTCCAACTGAGCCCTGGGAGAGTGAAGAAGATTATCCTCAGAGCTGTTCAGTCTGGCAGTGAAAGGGGAAGAGTCCACTGAATTAATTACCTTGACTGTTTTTGATACTGCACTTATTGTGGGATTGTTAGGGCCATTCAAAATAGAGTTGCCTTTTAAATGTAAACTTTTAACCCATCTTTTTGTTGGTTTTTTTTTTTAAGCCAAGCACCCAAATAGCTCATTTATTTTTTAAGTCCAGGCCTTTGCTCCCTCCCCCAGCTTTGTTCTCTGTTAGCATTCTGTGGATACTGGACAGACAGTGCTTTTGTTTGGCCAGATCTTAGAACTTTGCTTAATTAGGGATTTCATTGTCTGTAAATATATATGATAATAGAAGAGAAAACCTGAGCCTGGTTTAAAGGAATTATTTAGTACCTTGAGTACATATTATACCTTGAAATTAAATGTGGCATTGTAGGGTTTAATTATATAACAACTCACAGAAGTCAAGACATAAATTCTTCCAGCCTAAGAATCATTTCCAATGTTAACATTATATTTTTACTTTGGGGTTAGTTTTTTTTTTTTTTTTAATTTATTTTAATGGTGGTACTTGAGTTTGAACCCAGAACCTTGGGCATGCTTAGCTATACCCTCCCTGCCCCGGCCGGGGTTAGTTTTCATCCAGTGAATTAAACAAGTGCTTCTCTTAGTGATCTCAGCATTTCTTAGAGGTAGGGAAAACTAGTGCCCTAGGAATGTCTAAATAACCTAGTAATTTGGTAGTGAAACCAGACCTAGAGCCAAGGTCTCTGAATTCTTCCTTTCTCTGAATTTCTAATATATTTAATTCTTTTCTCTAAGAACTCCTTTCAGGGTCCCTATTTGAAATGATCTGAAAATTTCCTATCTTTACCCTGAGAAGCTGTTTTTATTTCTCTAGTCATGAAGAGAATCCAAAGACCAGGATGCCATTATCAATCCCAAGGAGAAAGGTTCAAGATAGGTGTTGGAGGAATAATAGATAGAGATGGAAAGGAAAGGACAAATTGAAGTTTTATTATGTTTGGTGCTGATGGATCCCAGGGAGGGAGCACTCGGCTGATTAGATCAAATTTAGTCGTTCACTGAGTTTGTTATATTTAAACCTACCTGAAAAGGGCAGAGGGCATCTTTACCAACACAGGGGCAGAACTCTAGTTAAGGATTCATTCCTGATCAAAGAATATAGTCAGCTCTTGATTATTCATGCAGAAGGGCAAACAGGCAAAGTATAGACAAGTAAAATCCAAAGATACTCCTAGGTCACATTTTTAAGCAGTAGGTTTAACTTCCTCTGCTTTTTAACTGGGATTTTCTAGCTGAACACACTGATTGAAATTTTGTTTTTTTTGGTCATTCAAGAGACAAGTAGGTGAGATTACCACAAGCTTGGATTATGCTTAGTTTCTTAGTCATCAAAAGTATATAGCTCAATACCGAACCTAGAAAGTTCAGCTCAGTTTTGTACCCTTGAGACAGTTTATTTTATTTAATATTTTATGACTTGATCCTTGTTACCTAATTATACCAGAGTCCTGTGGAGAATTGGGATTTTCCAGGTAAATCATAGATAAGCTAGCTCTTGATACTGGCTTGTCTTATTTTTTCGTGTTTTCTGGCCACACAGATATGCAAATCATTCATCATACGTGGGGGAGCTGTAGATAGCCAGGCCAAAGAAGAACTATTACCAAGTGAACCTTTTCTAACACTGGACTGTCTGTGCCCTAATGATGGGAGCTTTGGCTGAAATGAAATCCATTTACACATCAGGTTGTGATTAAAGAAGTACTATAAATTATAAATTCAAAGCTGCGGATTTGTTCGTTGGGAAGATGTTATTTGTTTCTCCCTCCTTCTCTCTCTTTTAGTGGAAAAT